ACGCTGGCAGGCAGAGAGCGGCCTTTCCCCGGGCTCATGGAAAAGACAGGTAGGGAGCTCAAACCCCAGAAGTGTGCAGCCTGGACTGTTCTGGACGGGACTCGGACCTCTTGTCAGTCACCAACCAGTTAGAAAGGAGGAGAGGGTGGCCCGGGGGCTCGATCGGGCCTATTAGCACCCTCCCGGAAGGCGGGGTTCTGCCTACCCTAGGGAGGCGGGCTCAGACAGGGAGACACACCCCCAAGTACTGTGCGGGGCTCAAGCGCCTTGGAAGAAGGGGCACTGATTAGGTGGGACCTGGGGGCAGCCTCAGGCCAGACTCGGAAAAATCAGTGGCCCTGGGGGCCGTGGGGCAGCACCCGGATGGGCCGAGGCGGGGGATTGTCCACGACGGGCTCGGGCCGGGCCCGCACGCCACCCCGGCGCTTCTGCTTGCGCAGCAGGTAGTTCGAGTACTGCACCTCGGGCATGGCCAGCTTGAGGCAGGCCTCGGTGGCCGGGCCGGCGCCGCCGCTGGGCAGGTCGTAGCCCATGATGTCCACCTTGCGGCTGGGCTGCCACGGCTGCAGCTGCTTGGTGCGGGCCCCCGTGCCAGCGCCGCGGGGATGGCGGCCAGGCGCGAGCTGGCAGCGCGCGCGTTGAGCTTGGCGTAGAGCACGTCGTCCAGGTCCCAGGCCAGCAGGCGCCGCAGCAGCACGAGCGACTCGTCGAAGTACTCGGCGATCATGACCAGCGAGAAGACCTCCTCCACCTGGCGGATGAGGCCCGCCAGGTAGGCGTCGTCACCCGTGCCAGCGCCGCGGGGATGGCGGCCAGGCGCGAGCTGGCAGCGCGCGCGTTGAGCTTGGCGTAGAGCACGTCGTCCAGGTCCCAGGCCAGCAGGCGCCGCAGCAGCACGAGCGACTCGTCGAAGTACTCGGCGATCATGACCAGCGAGAAGACCTCCTCCACCTGGCGGATGAGGCCCGCCAGGTAGGCGTCGTCATCACGCGGGCTGCGCTCGTTGTCGCCGCCCAGGTCGTAGGCCAGCGTGTTGTGAGCGAACATGGCGAAGTGCTCGCCCGCGCGGTAGTAGGCCTCGGGCGAGCGCAGGAAGGCCTCGAGCGACGCGTTGGGCACGCGCCGGAAGGCCGGGCAGTACTGGTTGTAGTAGCTGAAGAGCGACTCGAACATGGCCGCCGGCTCCCGCAGGATGGTGACATAGACGGTGCCAGGCGGCATGAGGCGCTCGAGCTCCGCGCGGTCGAAGCGCAGGTGGCTGGCCAGCACGTGCGGCGGGCGCGTGGCCGGGTGCACGAAGTGCGTGGAGAAGTTGCGAGGGTAGCAGAATTGGTGTTCGCAGCTCGGGTGCGGCAGAGCCACGGTCAGGTTGTGGCGCTCGGCGAAGCGGAACAGGATGTTCTGCACCGTCGTGCCCGCAGTCTTGTGCGTCTTTAGAAAGGCCACGGTCATGTGCTTGGGTCGCGGCGGCGAGTCCTGCAGAGGTGGGCAGCTCAGGGGGAACAGCCTGGGGTACCTGACGGGTCCGGGGAGGAGAGTGTGAGAGGTGTGTGGCTTGACCTCTGCCCCTTCCCAAGGACGGTGGGATGGGCCACGGAGCGGCTCATCTTGGGCTTTACCCACAGAGCAGTTGAGGGGTATGGTAGGCGGCCTCTAAGATGACACCTGTGATCCCTGCAGGGCTCCTGTATTCATGCTCTTGTGTATTTACCTCCCCTTGAGTATGAGCGGGTCTTACTGATGCCTCTAAGGAATAGAATAGGGCAGAGACGATGGATGTCACTTGTGAGATTACATTATAAAAAAGACTATGGCTTCTATCTTGGTGTCTCTCTCTAGTAAAACTCATGCAGGGGGGAAGCAAGCTGCCATACTGTGAGCAGCCCTATGGGGAAGTTCCACGTGGCAACAGCTCCCAAGGGACTGGGTCTTCAGACCATCAAGCCTGTTCGAAGTCGGCCCAAACCCACATGAGTGAGCCTGAAAGGGAGCCCAGTCAAGCCTTCAGATGAGACGGCAGCACCATGAGATACCCTGAGCCAGAGGTACCCAGCTAAGCCCCACCTGGATTCCCGACCCACAGAAGTGAGATAATAAATGTTGGATGTGCTCAGCTGCTAAGTTTTGACGTAATTGGGTTACACAGAACTAGATAACTAATAGAGGGACAAAGGCCCTTGGAGATCCTTGAAGAATTCTACTCTACAGACGTAGAAACTGAAGACCAGGAGGAGAAAAATCATTTACATAAGTCTGGCAACTCAGATGCAGTCACCAAATCCTTTTGCTTTCTGTCTTTCTCATTTTCACTGGCTCCTCACCTTGTAGATGAGTGATATGGGCTTTGAGGCAACATATTTGTCATATGCTCTTAAGGCCTCTGGAGCTACATTCATTCATTCAATATTTTTTGAGCCTCTACTATGTGCCAGCTACTGTTCTAGGCTCAAAGAAATATGATAGTATAAAAAACAGATCACAATCCTAGTCTTCATGAAGCTTTCGTTTCTGTTTCCTCATTCCTGAAACAAAGGTGTTTGGGATTATGGGTGAACTGTAAGCTCCCTTAAGACTTTGAGTCACTCTCCTGTTTCTTTTCTACCATCCTGAGCATAATGTACTGAGGACAGCTTTGAGCAGCTTTGAGAATGTCATTTAGGTTTCTATCTGCGGCTGACTTGGGCTCAGGGCCATGTCTACACAAGCACCTTCTAAAGACCAGCGAATCATCCAGCAGGGGGCACTGGGCTCATTCACACATTCTATTGGGCAGACCGTGGAGAAACTGGGGAAGTTGAGTCCCTGAGGGTTGCAGGGATTTGTGGGGTTCACATGGGAGACAGGAGTAGGGTCAGGGCTCCTATTAGTCGTCACATGGTATCCTGTGTCAGAGAGACAAACTGAGCCATACATACTGTCATTCCCATTTTATAGATAAGATAACGGGGCCTCAGAGAAGTGAGAGGACTTGCCCAGCACAACAGAAATCCTTTGCAGTCCTTTGGGAAGATGGCCTGAGTGTGATGCCGTGGGAAGGACTTGGGCTGGAGTAGACTCCCAGCTTAGTCACTATGACTTTGAACGTCATTCAGCCCTTTCAATGAAGATCAGTCTCTGCTCAGGGAGGTTGTGTGGAGCTGGAGAGAATGTATGGAAAGCACTTTCAGGATAGAGAGTAGGAGCAAAGCGCAGCAAGGCCGGACTCTTCTGGCAGGTGCAAGGAATGGGAAGCAGCACTCCCCGTTCTGGTGCTCACCAGGCACCTGGCCGCCCGAGGACTGCAACTGCCTGGGCCCACCCCCTCGCCCAGGCCCCCACCCCTTACCAGCTGAGCTGTGCCCCCTGGTGGATGAAGAGGCTCAGAGTGCTGCACCCTAGCACCAGCAGCAGGATTTTCCTGCGGCTCATCATCTTGGTGGCCTGCTGCAGGCGCTGGAGGATGAGTGGCATGATGGGGTACCCACCCCTGGACCAGCCAGGGTCTCGCTATCCAGGACTCCCTTCGCCGGCACTCATGGGGGCTCCTGAGGCTCTGGTAGCAGGGCCAGTGTTCTGGAGAGGCCTGGCAGGAGAAGGAGGCAAACAGGTTTGTAGTGGGCAGAGATGGGCTCCGAGCCCCAGCCGACTACTGCAAAGGAGCGCTCCAGAGAGTGGGGTGAGCAGAGAGGCCAGGGAAGATCAGATTCCTGCCTCCCCGTCACCAAGACCCTATCTCCGCACTGCTCCAGATAACTTAGTCTTGGGTGGAATTACAGGCTCAGGCTGTAGCCACTCCCTCCCTTGAGCCCTGTCTCTCCTTCTCTGCTGCCCCTGATTCGTCTTTGCCTCGTAGTCGTTTGTATCTGCGTATGCAGCAGACTTACCTGAGCACCAAGGCTTGGCTCGGAGCATAGAAGTCTCGACTCAAGGTTTCCCCTCCTCCAGGACTCCTTGCCTGGTGGCATCAGCCAAGAGGTGGCCCCCCAGAAACCAAGCTCTGCAGAAACACTGACCAAGC